GGGCTGCCTTTGTGGCTCAGCTGGTAAAGAATCTGCCTGCAATGCAGGAGACCTCAGTTCGATCCCTGGGTTGGGAAGATCCCCTGGAGAAGGGAAAAGCTACCCACTCCAGTATTCTTGCCTGGAGAATTCCATGGACTGTATGGTCCATGGGGTCCCTAAGAGTCAGATATGACTGAGCAACTTTCACTTTCTATCAGTTTCCATTTTAAAAAAAGAACTTTTAATAAGGGAACAATACCTGTTCTTGTAGAAGGTGAATCTTGTCTCCCTAATGTATTTATCTAGAAGCATGGAATGCCTTTATATGGGTTCTTAAGGAGAACTGGCACTCAGCCCAAAATGTGAGTCTACTTTGGAGCAGAGTCCAGGGATTCTGGAGCAGAGACGTTCACTGTCTCAGTGCTGCTCCACAGATGCTCTAAGGAGGATGCTGGCAGGAGAAGATGCTGGTGCCATGCATATGGCAGCCTCTAGTACATGTCATACATTCCAAGGTAGCTTGTCCCACTGGCCTTATTGATCGTAAGTCGTTTCTCTCCATGATTGTGAGATGTAAACGTGGGGTCTTCTGGCCTTCCAAAGAAGCCTGTTCTGTCTGGACCCCTCCAGCACAGGGCAGTGGGAACCCCAAATGTGGGGCATATACTACTGCCCTCACTATTCCTGGTCCAAACAGGATGCTCTCAGCTCAGCTCTGCCCAAAGTAATTTAATAGCAACTGTGATTTGCTCTCAACTTCTCCCAGAGCTGTTTAGTCGTAGCTCTCCATCACAGGCATGATGAGAAAGGCCAGAGAGAAGAGGTCAAGGATTCTTGGCTTTGGTCCCTGACACCAGCCTTCTGGGCTACACAATAAGAGTTACCAAGAGTGATTCTTTTTGGTCCTTCTTGGTGGTACCGCCACAGTCCCCGTTTCAAAATACCTCTGTACGCTGTCATTCTAACTTTGACTTTTGCTCTTTGACAATCTGTGTTCTATGAAAGATGAGGAGGGTGTTTCTATTGTTCAGTGATACCTGCTGAATGCCAGCCGCCTGCAGACCCCCGGGGGTGGGGGCCAGCTTGCTGTCTGCTCCATGTGGGCACCTGTCAGGCCGCCAGCCCCCCGGAAGCCTGACCCTGAGGCCTCCACAGCACTTGCTCAGTGCAGACAGAGCACCACCCATGGGAAGAAGGAGCTCACAGCTCAGGGAGACTTGTTTTGTTTCTAGAAACACCCGCCGGGCAGCAGAGGTCTGGATGGACGAGTACAAGAACTTCTACTACGCAGCAGTGCCTTCTGCCAGAAATGTCCCTTACGGAAAGTAAGTGTGACTCTTGCTGTTTTGCTTGGGATCCTCCGTGCGCGCGTGTGTGTGTGTGTGTGTGTGTGTGTGTGCAACAAGGGCAGGGGCAGCCCACACCATAAGCAGATCAGGTGTCAAAGAGGGGATTCCGCTCAAGGATCGTGAGGACCCTCTTGGGAGGCGCGGGGGGATAGACGAGTCCAAACAGCATTGTGGATGATCCAGTCCCCACTGCCTGCCCCGACTCTTTTCTCATCAGCAGATTTCCAGGTTTGATGTGGAGCCCATCTGTTTTTTAAATTTATAAAGGAATCTTGTCTCCTTCTCCAGTATTCAGAGCCGACTGGAGCTCAGGAAGAAACTTAACTGCAAGCCTTTCAAATGGTACCTGGAAAACGTCTACCCAGAGCTAAGGTGAGGTTCCGGGGCCGGGTTCTGCTTCAGCCAGTGCCCGCTGGGTGCAGGGCCTGGAGGCAGACGGAAGGTCGTGTTCAGAGAGAGGCCAGGAGCTTGCCCCGCCGCTGTCCTCAGGCTCCCCGAGGCGGCGCTCTCGCCCCCAGCCCACAGGCTCCTCTGCAGTTGTGTAGGGACTGAGACCCAAGGCTTGGCCAGCAGGGGAGAGCGCCCAGCAGAGACGCAAAGGAAAGTCCCGCCTGCGGAGCTCTCCTCCAGGCTGGTTCTGACCTCATGTGTCGCAGGAATAACCACACGGGCCTGTTGTTTTAATGCCTGCCCACTCACATCCTGAGGCACATGGGGAGACCTGTGGGTCTGTGGGCTTCAGGCTGCTTCTGGACTTCATCTTCTTAGGGGAGTCAGCAGACAGGTCTTGCCTCTATGGGGCACATTCTGTTTTCTGGCTTTTCCCAGTGCATTTCACAGCAGGTCACGTGTCTGCACACAGAGGCTCTGACTGAGTCACCCCACCCCCTTCTGTGCTAAGGGGCTCTCAGAGCTTCGTCTGGGGCCACAGGGCCTCTCTGCTGCGGTTCACGTACCTCGCTCTTGGGGTCCCTCCGTGTTTCCCACACCCCAGAGGAAGGGGAAGAACAGGAGTGCTCTCCCTGCCCGCTCTGGGAAGGCCGTCAGCAGCGTGATGCCCCAGTCATTGCCTCTCCCGCAGCACACCAGGGGCTCACGGCAGTGGACCATGGCCCCTGCTGGTGCGTCTGTGTCACTGTGGCCTGTGCCTGGTGAGCAGATGCAGGGACATTACCGCAGTTGTGAGCTGAGATCCCCGGGGATTTGGGGTGGCAATGGGCCCTGCGCCACCTGGGCTCACACGTGTAAAGCATTCACACCATAGCCATGCGTAGATCGGCTGCCCCGACCATGCCCAGCAAGGGGGACACCAGGCTGATGTTTGTGCCGCGTCGGCGACTGTCTCTGCCTTCCCAGCACACTTCCTGGCGGCCCAGCCGTGCTGAGGGCTGCGGGCGGGATGCTCTGTGGCCCCTGCAGCAGCCTCCTTGAGGAGGAGGGCACACAGGAGCGCACAAGGCTGGTGCGCAGCCAAGGCAGGCCCGGGGCAGCTCTGAGCTTGCAGCCGGCCCGCCACTGTGCTGTCCTGCTCTGAATGCACCAGGACACCTGGCTGACCCACCTGTGTTCCCCCCGCTCTTAGATAGAGGTTAGTCCTCAGTCTACCGGACAGTTACAAGCAGCAGATCTGACCACATTAATTGCTTTTCTAAGTGACTTTCAACAACTAACACAAAGAAGAAAGGGGCATGTTCTTTCCAGAAAAATTTCTCTGGTACAAAACAAAAAGTCTACTTCAACCTAAAACTCTGCCTTTAGGGTCAGGGATTGAGAATCTCGAAGCCATGCCGTCTCAGGGCGCAGCTGGGCCTGTGTCGGGGGCGTCTGGCCCGAGGGTGGCCTTGCTCTCTCACTGCCCGGCTCCCTTCCGAGGGCTCTGAGCACAGGCTGGGGGCGGGGCAGACAGGGAGCCGGCAACCCTGAGTGCAGCGAGTGACCGTCTCCTTGATTCCAGGGTTCCTGACCATCAGGATATAGCTTTTGGGGCCTTGCAGCAGGGAACCAACTGCCTGGACACTCTGGGCCACTTCGCTGATGGTGTCGTTGGTGTTTACGAGTGTCACAATGCTGGGGGCAACCAGGTACGTGCGTGGGGAAGGCCGGGGCCTGAAGCCACCCTTCCTGTCCCCGCCCTCCTGAGAGGGCCACCCGCTCACAGCGGGCCTCGGGGTCGGAGGGGTTGTCCTCCTGGGGCTGTGCTCAGCCTTGGGCAGGCTCTGGTGCACAGGGCGGGTGACCTGGGTCTCCCCCCGCCCCCCCCGTCCTCCTCTCCACCTGACGCCCCGGTGCTCATCCCAGGGCACCTGTCTGCATCTACGCCCGCCCAGGTCTCTGCGCGCCGGCGCTTACCCGTGGCTGCTAGGGCTGCCCGTTAGATGATAACAGCTTAGATGTGAACACTCACAGCTCTGTCCTTGTGGGAAAGGCCCAGCTGTGGCCTGTGTCCCAGAGGACAGTGTCCTGGAAAGTGGTTTTCCTGTGAGCTGATAACAGGTATGTGGTAAAATGAGGGCTTCAGACACAAAAAATGGCTGGGCGGTGCTGGGTGCTGTCATCTGCTCTTACGGGGCCTGCCACTGGGAAAAAAAAGTCACTTGAGCTCAGTGTATCCCAGAGTCTTCTTTAAATGGAGCTCTTTTCAAAAGAGGGTGCCTGCCTTTGTGTGAAGTTGGCTGTGCCCCATTCTCTTGAGAAATGTCCAGACAGATGGCAGCCTCTGGTTCCTGGCCTCCTGTCTCCTCTGGGTGGTGTCGTCTCTGTGGTTGTCCAGACCTGTGACAGTCAGGGCGTGGGGAGCAGACAGCCCCCGGCCGGCTCCAGCTCATAACTCCAAGGCGGGCTACCTCCCTGGCCCTCAGCAGAAGAGCCCAGAAACTTTGGGGAAGCATGGATCCCGGATCCCACGCACAGAAAGCCTGATTTCATGAATCTGGGGTTAGAGCAGCAGGGTATTTGGAAGCCCTCCAGGCTGGGTGGCCTCCGTGAGTGCTGGGCAGGGAGGGTTTCCCAGCAGGAAGGACACCAAGGGGCAGGTAACAGCAAGGTGGTCCGGCACTTCCACCCCAGTCCAGGAGCACCATCCTCCGTGGACCAGCCTGGACCCGGTGAGCCCCTTTCCAGATCAGACCACCCTCTAGTCCTCTGTGCTGCTCCACTCAGCACAGCAGCCACTGGCCACATGTGGACGCCCAGCACTGGGGACGTGGGGAGGGCAACGGGGTGTAAAGTTCTCACTTCATTTCACTGCACTTCACCTAGCCATGCGCAAGTTAAATAGCATGTCCTTATGGAAAATTGGACCCAGCTCTGAAAGGGTAAGATGTGTCATCTGGTTTCTAACTGGGCCTCAGCAGACACACAGGAAATGGGAAAATTTAAGAGTGGCAGCTTGAAAAAGTACTTCTTAAATATTCATGAACTTTATTTGCAAATTCAGATCACTAACATGCAACAGAAGAAGGAAATGGCAACTATCTCTGCTGTTTGCGTAGCTGAATTAGTTTTTCTGGGATTCAGTGTAAAGTCTCTTTTAAAATAATGAAGCACACAGTGGCAGGAAGATTGTAGAAACATTCAGATGTGAGCTTTCTGTGGAGATCAGCAAAGCCCCCAAAAGCTTCCAAGAACAACTGAAAACCCCTCCCCATACAGAGGGCTCCCCCCATCACTCCTCTTGCTGAACGGAGAGGCAGAGCTCCATGTCTCTGTCGCACACGGACACCTAGAAGAATGGAAGGTGCAGGCTCTGCCCCCTCCTAGCACCCCTGTGGTGCTGGGTGCTGCTCTGAGGCACCCTACTCCCCCCACCTCCCTGGGAAGGACAGCCTCCTGGAAGACTGGAACCACCCTCACAGCCCAGCATGCGGCCCTTCTGAGAATGCGCTGCATGCTCAGAACCAAGAGCCCCGGGGACAGGTGGGCACAGAGCTCTGGGCTTCCATGGAAGACAGGCCACACAGGTTCTTCTCCTCTAGGACTTTTCAGAGCCTCTCATAGGCTACTGGTAAATTTGCAAGAGTGACACATGGTCCAAATTCAGTGTTTCCCAAATTTACTTGACCTGGAAGCAACTTTTCCTAGAATTCCTACTGGAGTTCTCTTTGAGAAACACTAATCAGAAGACAAGAAAGCTGAAGCTCAGGGATCCAAGGGGGCTGCCTAGTCTGAACCCCTGTCAGGGGACAAGGAAGCCCCCCCATGGCCCAGGGGCTCTCCTCCCTTTCCTGGATGAGGCCCAAGCCTCTGCCCCCACACTCACCCCCTGAGCTGGACTCGTGTCCCACTGCTGAGTGGGTCGGGGGTGCATATGTGGCCCCCAGATGTTAACACTGTCCTGATAACAGACCATCTGCTCCGAGGTGGTTTAGGTGAGGAGCAATGAGGCTTCTTTAAAAGATTCTGCATTCTTCCCTTACCTCTGTCCCCTGCGAGCAGGGAACAGGAAAACAATCTCTGCATAGCACTCACTGTGCCTCATGTTACACAGCACAAGCGCTAGGGTGATACCCTCTCTCCCCACAAGGAACACAGCCTCTGGGAGCAGGGCCTGGCCTGTGTGTTCCCTGCCCTGGGTCCAGCCCCCAGAGGGCACCTGAGTCACTGCGGGCACTTAGTGGCCAGGCACTGGGTGGATGAGTGGACAGGTGAATAGACAGATTGACTTACAGTGGCTTTCCTGGGGGTACAGAAGAAGCAGGGAGGGCACCTCCTGAGGGATTCTGAGTTACAAGAGGCTCTAGATCCTGGGGGCTCATGTGGGTTTTATCCTTTTGCACACATCAAGTCTCAGAGTGAAGGTCAGAAGCCTTGTCCTCCTGCCTCCACTGTGGCCCTGCCCAGAGCAGGCTCCGCACCTCCTCTCCTGCCTGTGGTCATACTCACCCATCGTGTCCCCTTCTCAGCCTCCTACCCTTCACATGCTCTTGCTTAGTGTTCAGAATAAAGGGTTCTGCTCTCAGCTCTTAAGGGGTGTGTGTGTGTTTGTGTGTGTGCACATGTATGTCTATTCTTTAAGATCATATGCAAGCTATTTCAGCACTTTCTGGCTCAGTTTTCTCGTCTGTAAAATGGGATTAATAATAGCCTCTCCTGGGACTATTGTATAAAGGGCTTAGAACAGAGCCAGGCATATTCTAGGCACCCAGGGCTGGCTGTGCCATGTGCAGGCAAAAACCTAGGTCCATTTGTAGGGTGCTCACAGGGCTTCTCAAGCATCAGTAGCCTGGCTTAGTGGTTGGTGGTAAGGCTGAATGTGCTATATGTGGTGTATGATTTCACACAGGACAGCCACAGCCATAAATGCTGTTTCCAAACTGTGCCTGTGTCACATCAGAGTCATCCCAAGGAAACGTTGGCCTTAACTGTCCACCCATGGGTGACAAGCTGGGGCTGCGATGTTCACAGCTCACAGTTAATGATGGAAGATGGGGTGTGGAGCACTAGTCTGTGTTTGCACTGAAGTACTTACTGGCATTGGCCTCGTGCTCAGAGGTGAAGCTCCTGACACTCCCGTTGGAGAATTGCTCTTGGGCACAAAGTCCTTTGCTGGCCCTGAGCTGGCTGGGGCTCCTGAAGCCTGTCCCCTGCGTGCCTCCCTTCTGGGGCCCTTCCTCGCTGCATCCTCACCCCATGGGCCGAGCCCTGACCTCGGGTTTGTGTTGCAGGAATGGGCCCTCACCAAGGAAAAGTCAGTGAAGCACATGGACTTGTGCCTGACCGTGGTGGACCGGGCCCCTGGCTCCCTCATAAAGCTGCAGGGCTGCCGGGAGAACGACAGCAGGCAGGTAGGTGCCGGTGGGGACAATCCCAAGCCAGACCACCCTGCCCCAGGGCCGGGCGCCCAGGGCCTGGTATTCACTGGGGGCACCTGTGACTGGTGCTGTCTTGTGTCCCCACGTGGAGCCCCTGACAAGCTGTGAACACCCAGCACATCCTGCCTGGGATCCCTGTGAGGAGCATGGGATGGGTGTCACCCAGGCTAGTCCATCTTCTGGGGGGCCGCTTCTGCCACAGCCCACCATCCTAAATGTTTCTCCCACCACCTCTGGATTCATCTGTTTATGTTGAGCCTCCCCTTTCATAGGCTGCAAGGGCAGGGCTGTGCTTTGCGGCTACGTGTCCAACTCCTGTGCGGGTCTACACGGGCTGGGCACTGGGGTGGGAGTCCCAGCACCAGAGGGGGTTCCCCCTCGTCCTGGGGGCTGGATGAGCTAGGCCGGGCCCTCCCTGAGCCAGGCCTCCTGCACCAGGAAAGACTGTGTCTGGTGGTGCCTGGGACGAGGCATGGGGGTGCTGGTGGCCGGGGTGCATGGATTGCAGCTNTCCAACTCCTGTGCGGGTCTACACGGGCTGGGCACTGGGGTGGGAGTCCCAGCACCAGAGGGGGTTCCCCCTCGTCCTGGGGGCTGGATGAGCTAGGCCGGGCCCTCCCTGAGCCAGGCCTCCTGCACCAGGAAAGACTGTGTCTGGTGGTGCCTGGGAGCACCCGAGGCATGGGGGTGCTGGTGGCCGGGGTGCGTGGATTGCAGCTCCCTGCCACCGACCCTGCCTGGAGGCACAGACCCCTGGTCCTAGACCAGGGAGTGACCTGGTGGAGTCCCGGCCCCTGGCTCCTCCACAGCACTGGAGCGGCCCAGGGCAGCCTGCCAGGAACCAGGCTGGCCGAACCAATGGAGTTCAGTTTTGCTTTAAAGATGAGAGTTCATGACTTTACTCATGAGACGTTAGTGAGACAGTGACCTACGAACCAGCCTAGAAAAGACAGTGAAGCTCATGATAACGTCACCTCAGAGGAGGTGTTTCACTTCCTTGCTGATGAACCTCCAACCCTGAGAGGTAAGACCTGTATTTTATAAAACAGTATCTATAAAGAACCCTTTATTTCTGAAGCCAGAGGCCTAATGTAGCTTATTCTCCTCCCCACACCCCTGGATGTTGTTTCTCTGGCTGCACTGGTTATCACTGTGATTGGAACTAGGGCTGATTGTCATCCTTGTGACAGGTGGCAGATCTTCTAAGCCAGTATAACTGTTCCCTCTTCAGTTTTTAGCTTTTGAACTTAAGTACTCTCATTTTTAGTATGAAGACTCTCATTTTAAGAATTGTGAAAATTTTGTTACCAAAAGTCTTCACTATGGTATGTTCTTAAATTACTGTTAATTTCTGAGTTTGGGGGTTTTGTGGATTTCTTCTTCTTTTCCTTTTCCTTTCTTTCTCCCTTTCTTCTTGTCATTTACTGTAAACGCTGCACATCCATATTATGTATCAGGACATTGGTTATTTTTATGCCTTCTTGGTTATAGCTGTTATCAGAGTGCCAAGACTGTCACCTACTGTTTGCTCACCTGCAAACCAACTACTTCTAAGTTCCAGTCAAGGCAGTTGTTTTTAGTTTTGGCTATTTTCTTTCTACCCATTAGTCTTTGGAATAAAAATTCAATTTAAACACACACACACCTCCCTTGGAGACATTATCATGAACCTTGCTGTCTTTTCTAGGCTGGTTTGTAGGTCAGTATTTCCCTAACTACTCGTGAATAAAGTCATAAACTCATTTTTGAAGCAAAGCTGAACTTCCACTGGTCCAGTTGGCCTCATTGCTGGTGGGGTGCACTGACTGGGCTGCATGTGGGATCTTAGTTCCCCGACCAGGGATGGACTCGTGCTCCCTGCAGTGGAAGTACAGAGTCCTAACCCCTGGACCACCAGGGAAGGCCCCCACCAATGGACATTTTGAAGAGAAATTCCACATTTTTGTTTATTCATTAAATATTTTTCCTTTTTAAATTTATAAATTGTAAGCGATTAAGGTGCAAATATATATGTTACACACACACTCAAGTTACCTTTTTCAAACCGTTCAGAATGTACATTTATGTTTTTTAGCTGGTGTTCTCTGATCTGTGCCCTGGTGGTGCCTTGGGGGCAAAGCCTTTTTTGAGCCCAGGGGAAGTGGCTAGTGCAGCCCCTAAATGATGTTCCCATGTGCCCACAGGGAGCCTGGGCTTATTCTCTTCTGTCCCTCCTCACAAGACAGGCAGGTCTAGGGAAACTGAGGCCTGGGGCCTACTGGAGCCAGGACTCCACGCGGGTTTCCTACCAGCATTCACTTCATAAAAGCATCCCCGGGACACTGCAGCCCAGGTCAGGCCCCTTGCTTGGATCCCAGGTGTCCGGAAACACTTGCAAAGTCTCTCCTCTGTCCCTCCCGCCTGGTTCTGGGTGCCCCCCTCCCTGCTCTGCGGAACGCCAGCAGGTCCTTAAATGCCTGTCTGTTTTGATGTCTGTGGCACCCAGATGAGAAGGAGGGACTGTTAAACAAGGGAGTCCCTTTTCCTGCCCCGACCTCCTGGGACCTGCCGGTCAGCATCAGGAGAACACGAGTCAGGCCAGGTGTGCTGCCTGGATGTCAGGGCAGGGCCGCCTGTGCATGGAGGAGGGATAAAGTGATGACCTTATCTGAACTCCAAGCCTTTGTTACAGACATACAGATGCTCCGTCTCTGGAGGAGTCTCCTACAGTGCGAAGCTTGCCTGATAGAGAAGGTGTGGCCCTTCAGTGGACCCTCAGCATCTGAGAAGTCTGCCCGCCCCACCACAGGGCTTGAGGCCGCCTTCTGCTGAGGGAGCTGGGGTTTCAGCATTTTTTAAGCCCTCCATCTGGCTGACGCTGTGACACAGGCAGAGCTCACCGAGAGAACAGTCACGGTCCATCCATCCCACATTATTTGTCAGAGGGGTTCTGGCCACTCAGAGTGACACATGGATGTTGGCAGTACAAACACACTTCACATGACAGCAGGAAAATAGCAGGAGGAGTGACAGCGAAGGGAGAGGAGTGGAGGGGGAGGTGATGGGCAGGTAGCGGCCGCCTCCCCCTGCTCATCAGATCGCACTGCATTTCGTTGTTGGCAAAGCCTGCGGCCAGCAGGCTGGGTCAGCAGCATCCCAGGTCCCCACAGCACATCCCTGCAGAGCCCTGTGTAGCCAGTCCCAGTGGAGGGCTCCTCCCCACCTTGCTGTGCCTCTTTCCCACCTTAGTCACTTGCCCTTTGAGAGGAGGCTCCTCAGAGAGTTCTGTCTCGAAGCTGCACTGTCTTGCCAGTTGAAACATTTGGCTTCCAGGCACATCGGTGTGTTTGTGTTATGACTGCATTTGCAGAGTCAAAGGACAAAGGAAAGCAAGGGGAAGAAAATTGAATTCCATGGTGTCCAAAGGATTTGCAAAACTACCAACAGAAAGGAGCCTCAGTGTACAGAGTGTAAAAAATTAATTAGAATTACAGCCTGCATTAATGAAGGGAGAGCTTTTGAAAGAAAAAAAGCATGTTACTTTTTTTTAAGAACAACCATTAGAGATTTTTACATGGGGACGAACAACAGGGTGAGAGGCCCTCAGGTTTCCCACAGCTGGGCTGTGGGCTTGTTTTCTGGTTTACCTGGTGGGATGGTCTGGGTTTAGTGGGGCATAGGTGTGTACACACAGGAGTATGGTGTTAGACCCTGGACAGTACATGTGGAACTTGGCAGGCTGTACCTGGGGACTCGGGTGGTTGAGATGGGCTTCTCACGCCCACCAAGGTGGAGAGGGTGAGACCACAGATGGTGGAGAAGTGGGCTCCCCAGCACAGCATTCCGTCCATACCGGCATCCCCTTCCATTGCACTTGGCCGCGTGTAAGTGGGCACTCGGAGGTGACCGGCCCTGGGCCTGGGCAGAGCTGCCTTCGACAGCCGGGGCAGCTTGGGCCCTCCTGGAGCCAGCGTGGTTACTGTGGCTCCTTCCTCGGGGTAAATACCCTCAGATGAGGCCCTTCTTGCGAATGAACACAAAGTCCCTCCCAGAAATCCTCCTGTGTGGTCCTTGTTAAGACTGAGAGGAACAAGGACCCTGAGCACGGGGCTTGGATGAGGAGATGCGCGAAGAGGGGGAAGGATGGGACAGAAAAGGGTCTCCAGAGAAGAGGTTTGAACTGCAAACCCAGTAGAGAGCGCTGGTCTCTTCTAAGCCCTCAGAGACATCTGTTCTGCCCTGGTACTGCCGTGACCTCCTGTCCGTTGTAGTCAGGGACCTCCCCTTGAGCGGAGCCGGCAGACCCGGAGAGCAGACCCCCGCATCTCCCCTGTTGGCGGCCGTGTTGGAAGGTGTCCTCCTGTCTTTTGCAGAAATGGGAGCAGATCGAGGGCAATTCCAAGCTGCGGCATGTGGGCAGCAACCTGTGCCTGGACAGCCGCGCAGCCAAGACAGGCGGCCTGAGCGTGGAGGTGTGCGGGCCGGCGCTGTCGCAGCAGTGGAAGTTCTCGCTCAACCTGCAGCCGTAGTGGGGCCTCCTGTCTGCCCGCGCCCGGCCACCCGGCGGCGAGCACGTCATCAAGTCTGTTTCTTAAACTTTCCGAGAAACTATATACCTCAGTATTCCATCATGGTCTGCCGGTCGGGAGACCTCAGCGCGGTGCGGGCCGCGAGGAGAAGGGGCTGCCGCGCCCTCCGCGGCCCTGCGCCCTGCCCGCCCAGCGCCGCTGCGGAGCTCCGAGCCCGCGGAGGGCGGACCGGGAGAGAACGGGCGCCCTGCCGCACAGCGAGGCGGCCTCTCCTGCCTCCGCCCGGACCCAGACGTCCCGTGCGGGGTCCACCCCGGCCACGGCCTCGGCGATCCCCCCGCCCTGCCTCCCAACTGTCTTACCAGCGCAGACCGCTTCCACGTGGTGTACCTGCCCTCTTTGGATATGAACTTTTCCACGGTGGACACTAAACCCAGATATATGAGGAGAGAATGTACGGTCAGTTCCTATGGTTCCTGTAAGTCATCCTCATCTTGTAAATTCTCCACAAGGCCCATCATAGCCGCGAGGAGGGGGGGGGCCGGCGGGAGGAAGGGGCTCCCGTTGCCCCCGGAGCCTTACAGGTGAGGTGGTGCCCCGCGCCCGCTGCGCGGTCCCCCCTCCACTCCCCGGAGGCTAGCGCTGCTCGGAGGCCCCCACCCCACCCCGGCATCTCGGTCTGGCTTCAGCTGGGAGTCACGCTCTGTGTTGAAATCCACTTTTTGTGCCCTTGGTGTCTGTAAACCCTGGACGGGTTACTTATTAGACAGATATTGCTTTGGGTCTCTGTAAATTAAATTTCTTTTCTCTAAGGATAAAGTGAGCAAAAAACAATCTCCCAGCTCACAGTGATGGTGGGAAGCTGTCACAGGCAGCATGGGGCGCCCTGTGAGGGCCCGGGTGATGGGGACTCAGGGTGGTTGAGATGGGCTTCTCACGCCCACCAAGGTGGAGAGGGTAAGACCACAGATGGTGGAGAAGTGGGCTCCCCAGCACAGCATTCTGTCCATACCGGCATCCCCTTCCATAGCACTTGGCCGCGTGTAAGTGGGCACTCAGAGGTGACCAGCCCTGGGCCTGGGCAGAGCTGCCTTCGACAGCCGGGGCAGCTTGGGCCCTCCTGGAGCCAGCGTGGTTACTCTGGCTCCTTCCTCGGGGGAAATACCCTCAGATGAGGCCCTTCTTGTAAATGAACACAAAGTCCCTCCCAGAAATCCTCCTGTGTGGTCCTTGTTAAGACTGAGAGGAACAAGGACCCTGAGCACGGGGCTTGGATGAGGAGACACGCGAAGAGGGGGAAGGATGGGGCAGAAAAGGGTCTCCAGAGAAGAGGTTTGAGCTGCAAACCCAGTAGAGAGCACTGGTCTCTTCTAAGCCCTCAGAGACATCTGTTCTGCCCCAGTACTGCCGTGACCTCCTGTCCGTTGTAGTCAGGGACCTTGCCTTGAGCGGAGCCGGCAGACCCGGAGAGCAGACCCCCGCATCTCCCCTGTTGGCAGCCGTGTTGGAAGGTGTCCTCCTGTCTTTTGCAGAAATGGGAGCAGATCGAGGGCAATTCCAAGCTGCGGCATGTGGGCAGCAACCTGTGCCTGGACAGCCGCGCAGCCAAGACAGGCGGCCTGAGCGTGGAGGTGTGCGGGCCGGCGCTGTCGCAGCAGTGGAAGTTCTCGCTCAACCTGCAGCCGTAGTGGGGCCTCCTGTCTGCCCGCGCCCGGCCACCCGGCGGCGAGCACGTCATCAAGTCTGTTTCTTAAACTTTCCGAGAAACTATATACCTCAGTATTCCATCATGGTCTGCCGGTCGGGAGACCTCAGCGCGGTGCGGGCCGCGAGGAGAAGGGGCTGCCGCGCCCTCCGCGGCCCTGCGCCCTGCCCGCCCAGCGCCGCTGCGGAGCTCCGAGCCCGCGGAGGGCGGACCGGGAGAGAACGGGCGCCCTGCCGCACAGCGAGGCGGCCTCTCCTGCCTCCGCCCGGACCCAGACGTCCCGTGCGGGGTCCACCCCGGCCACGGCCTCGGCGATCCCCCCGCCCTGCCTCCCAACTGTCTTACCAGCGCAGACCGCTTCCACGTGGTGTACCTGCCCTCTTTGGATATGAACTTTTCCACGGTGGACACTAAACCCAGATATATGAGGAGAGAATGTACGGTCAGTTCCTATGGTTCCTGTAAGTCATCCTCATCTTGTAAATTCTCCACAAGGCCCATCATAGCCGCGAGGAGGGGGGGGGCCGGCGGGAGGAAGGGGCTCCCGTTGCCCCCGGAGCCTTACAGGTGAGGTGGTGCCCCGCGCCCGCTGCGCGGTCCCCCCTCCACTCCCCGGAGGCTAGCGCTGCTCGGAGGCCCCCACCCCACCCCGGCATCTCGGTCTGGCTTCAGCTGGGAGTCACGCTCTGTGTTGAAATCCACTTTTTGTGCCCTTGGTGTCTGTAAACCCTGGACGGGTTACTTATTAGACAGATATTGCTTTGGGTCTCTGTAAATTAAATTTCTTTTCTCTAAGGATAAAGTGAGCAAAAAACAATCTCCCAGCTCACAGTGATGGTGGGAAGCTGTCACAGGCAGCATGGGGCGCCCTGTGAGGGCCCGGGTGTGCTGGGCCCTGTCCCGCCTGCCTCAGGACCTTGGGGTCAAGAATTAGGAAAAGTGAACACCTGCTCGTTGACACTGAGGATTCAGGGTACAAACAGGAGCTTTGTGGCTTAGGAAGGAGGCTTGTGTCAGCATAAAACACGAGCCAGTTGTAAACTAAAAGTCAAGCAGGAGGGGGCCTGAGCACTGCCCTGACCCCTGGCCTGGCCCGGCAGAGCCCTCCTGGCCTCTGAGGGGCTCTCACGCATCGGTGGCCCAGCTGCAGCGCCCACAGGAGGGCGCCCCAGTCACTCCCAGGATTACCGCCCTCCTGTCTTCCTGCACCCCCTGGCCCAACGCCTCAGTGCACAGGTGCCCAGACCTGATGAGGCGTCACGCAGGCACATGTACTGGCCCCTCTGGAGGGACTGGGTGGTCACAGAGAAGTGGCCCCAAAGGGTTCTGCCAGGTAGACAGTCTGCCAGGTGCAGCTCTTTCCTGCCTGTTTCTTCTAGGAAAGGGGAGGTTGGTCTTTCTTCCTCCACTGCAAAAGCCCCATGTGGGTTTGCTTCATGCCAGTGTGCTCAGGCCTGGAGGCCTGGCTGGGTGACTTTGTCCTGTGCATTTTTGCCCCCTGCCAACCAACCAGGTGTAGTTTCAGCAGACAGGGAGACCATGGTTGGATTAACTCTGCACACCTCTATCTTCGGAGGCTGATCTTGACCACCAATAAGCTCTTGGGCTGAGTCCTGGATACCTGTGCAAGGCTGCTGACTGCAGGTGGGCCAGGAAGCAGTCACCCAGCCCTTGGGATCCATGGTCAGGCTACTACTACTGTTAGGGAAAAAAAAGCCCCATGGATGAAAATTAAATTTGGCTTTCAAGCGAAGCAAATTGTCATCAGATTCTTGACAAATCTTTCGCCCACACACCTCCACCCCACCCAGAGGTCTTACCAACCTTGGTAACGTCAGGATGGGTCCCCTGGTCACTGGGGGCAACTCCCCATCGCTGACTGGTGGGGTGGTAGCCGTGGATGGTGTGGGCGCTGTGAGCAGAGGTGGGCGGGGAGGGCTCTCTGAGGTGAGCCCTGTTTACATGACACAGTGTGCCAAAGTGACTTTACTGTGGCCGCGTTGCTTCTCAGTCATTGGGACTGCCCGCCCTCCCACTCCCGTTTCCACAAGGCAAGATTCTTTCCTAAGAGCCCTTTGAGCAAAGCGTGGCAAAATTAGCTGTCTTCTCTGTGCTGGTCCTTGTTATGTCTTCATAAAAGCTAAAATGATGGTGTCTGTGAGTATGTTTTGCAGATTCAAAATATAGTTTGGTAATTTTTTTTCCAGTTGATTTTTAAAAAGAACTGCTGTACAGAGCTTGTACTTTGTCCATTTTATAGATGGAAACCATCCTTGAAAATTGTTTAACTTAAATAAAGAGAAGATACTTTATAGATACGCCCTGCTGGCGGCTGCAGTCACTCTTGGTCTTTATCGGATGGATGAGACTGATGTTTGAGGACTGTGATTATGGTCTGTCTTGGGTGGGGTAGGGGGGCTGCTCAAGTACCATTTCTTTTTTTTTTTTTTTCAAGTACCATTTCTTATCACACTCTTACAATGCATTCACCTTTTACTGCTGCACCTTTTGACATTTATTATTGGTAATAATAACCATTACCATTTGTGTGCCAGGCCCCATGTGGAGCACTTAAATACATCCTCATTGTCTCTTCAGTCACCTGGGGGGATAGTATTTTGGGCTGCATTTTACAGTTGGTTTGGGAAGCTGATTCTTGAAGCCTTTAGCCTCCTCAAGGTCACAGGTTAATCTGCCCAAGGTCACACCACTCTTAAGTACTCACCAGACAGCCTCGGGCACTGAGGCCCAGAGCCTGCCCTCTACATAGGGTAGGGGAGGGGTAAGGGGCTGATGTCATCACAGCTTTTAGAGTATTTTAAATCCTTATACTATTCACAAGTTACCTGGGCTCTCCACTTCCATCCCAGGCTGGCTGAGTTCTTCCCTCCTCCTCAGCCTTTGAGCAGCCCCACAGGTGTGTCAGGGAAACACAACATTGCCAGTTCTTTAGCAATTTGCAGTGAGGTTGGGGAGGCTGGAAAGATTCACCAATGAGTGCTTTGAACTTTCTGAAGGCTCCGCTCTGCATTGTTTTTCTCCATTAATTGAGGCAACCAAAATTTGCTCCCCTGACATCTGAGAAACAAAAAGAGCTCTCTTATCATAATTGTGCAGTATACATTAGGGGCCTTTAGGAATCGTGTGTGTGTGTGTGTGTGTGTGTGTGTGTGTGTGTGTGTGTATGGGTGTTTCCTGCTTTGCAGGGAAAAGTTCATTCATCCAGTAAATATTTTCTGAGAAACTATATTGCACTGATACCCTGAAGACCTAGGAGGGGAAAAAGGGAATGAGCAGAATGTCCAGCAGGCTCCAGGTAGGGTATTTAGAGACAAGATTGGGTAGGTCTGGTCAGTGGTGGAGGCCATTCCTGGGGAGAAGGGAACTATACGAGCCATGGGCAGGAGCAGGGAGGGTCAGATTTGCAAAAATAGAGCAAAGTACTTATCCCAACTCAGCAATTAGATTCTGCAATATATTTCACATTCTGAGAAACATTCAGCTAGAAAAATAAAACGTTCACATGCCCTCTTCTGTCCATGGACTCTCCTAAAAGAAGAAAATTCTCTTCACAGATGTTCTTATATATTCCTGAGCAACTTACTGATGATACAATGTATATATGTCTTTGATTTATGTATTATGTGTACCTGGATATGATAAACATCCTATTTACAAATGTCATTGCATCTGTGGGGTCCCAAAGAAGTAGTCAGACATATTCGCCCAGCAGCCCCTGCCGGAGCACCTATGGACCCAGCCTGGATGCTGGGCGGAGGCTGCAGAAAAGACCATCACTGGTCCCTGCCCCAGGTTACCTCCAGAGCTGTCAGATTGTGAACCACACTGAACACAGTTAGGGAAATAGATTGAGTCTTAGAAAGGCCCTGGCCTCCTGAAGATAATGGAGAGAATCTTTGGGGTGGTTAGGGGGAGGGTCCTCCATCGAGGGCCAAGACATGGGAACTCAGAGTGGTGCAGTGTTGCTGAAGAGCTTCCAGAAATTAGCTGTCCGTGGTGCTCTTGAATTGTAAAGACTTCTCTATTGAAGCACTTTTCGTTAAGAATGTCAGAAATCCCAACTAAATGCAATGTAAATTAAGAAGCATTCATTATCTCGTAAAACAGGAAGGCCCAGGGTGACAGTTCCAAGTTGATCCTGGGATTTGACTTCATTGTGAACAAATTGCTT